TTGACCGCATCATCCCTGCTTCCGGTCCTAAAATGGGCGGCATCGAAGTGACATTACTGGGTAGTAACTTTTCTCGCGAAGCACTGGTTAATTGTGCGATCGGATTTGGTCAAAATGTCGTCCTCTTCGCTGGTGCTAATGCATCCACCACGTTGAGTGCCGGACAAGCAAGTTCGTCGACTGGCAATGGACTTGGAGTTGGTGCTCAGGTCTACAATGACAATGTCATTATTTGCATGCTCCCTCCCAGTCCCGTGGCTGGACCTGTTGAGGTGAAATTTTTCGGTCTGCCGGCACCCATGCCTGGATTAGGACTGCCAATGGGAGAGCCGCCTGCGCCCATTTTTACGTACATTGAAGAGGAAGAAAAGGACTTGTGAGTTTCATGGAATACTTCTGTCTATCTTATGCTAACACGGTTTATCTTGCAGGATGATTCACGCTCTTCAAATTCTCGGATGGCAAAACTCTGGACAATGGCAAGATGCAAAGAGCGTGGCCATGAATATTCTTGGAAACCAGAACCAAGCCATGGGCGGCATGATGGGCATGGAAGATTCGTCCAACGCAGATCTATCTTCGCTCATTGGCGGCTTAGGCTTTTCTGCAACACAAGGCAAGACTGCAAACAAAGGAGGACTGGCCCGCCAAGCTACCCAGAGCAACATCAATCAGATCGAGCTTGGTGTCTGGAACGTTCTACGACGTGCTCAGCACCCGGCCACTGGCGTCATCAGCCATATATCGACGCCTCATCCTGTCACTGGTCGAACACTTTTGCACATTGCTTCTGCCCTCGGATTCTCCAAACTTGTCGCCGCATTGATCGGCTGGAAAGCCAATGTAGACATTGCCGACAAGAATGGCTTTAGTCCTGTTCACTTTGCGTGCTTCTATGGACGGACAGAATGTGTGGATATTCTTGTCCGGATAGGACGTGCGCACCTTGAAGGCCGGGATTTGCAGGGTCGAACTCCCTTCGATGTGTGCGGAACGGAGCAGGTTAGGGACTTCGTTTTGGAGCTCGAAGAAGAAGTGGAGACGAGACGCCGAAAGTCCACTGCTCCGAGTGAGATTGAGAGCGGTGGTGAAGGTGACGACGAGAAGTATACAACATCCGAAGCTGACTTTGAAGAGGAGGAAGAGGAGGAAGATAGTTTCCAACAACCTGAACCAGTCGGGGAGCCTTCCCGGTCTGCATCTCGTCGTGTTTCTCGCGCCAACTCCCTGGCATCGATCGCCTCCAATCGTAAGGCAGCTCGTCCTGCTATTCCATACGGACATGAAGATCTTCAGCCACTTTCTAGTATCCATCCCGCAGACTCCATACCCATTCCGCCCGCAAGCCCTTCATCCTCATCATCTTGGGGCCTCCCGCGCAACATTCCCATGCCGTGGCAGATGCAGTTCCCTGCAGGTTGGCAGTTCCCGAACGTGCCCACTATGCCACAGTTCGTTCGTCGTCGCTCAGTAGAAGGTGAAGATGGCGACAAGACACAGCAAAAGGAGAAGGAAATGTTTGACTGGATGTGGATGCAATATCTTCGCAATCAATGGAACCTGTTACAACAGCAACAGCAAGGGGCGCAGTAGTTGCCGAATTGGACAACGATCCACCGCCCAAGTATTCACCTCCACCGGAAAGACAAGCCCCAGATTCTCAAGAGAAGCGAGGATCCCCGAATACTCACACCGCTCCAGCCACGCCTACCATAGTGGACGAACCACCTTCACCTCTATCCTTGGACCCACCCTCGAAATTGAGCGTCCCTTCCTCGTCCTCTACCAAGATTTATCCCGTCGCTAGCACCTCTTCT